CTTCGAGTAATAAAAAGTGGGGCGTGACAGTTGCTCTCTATGAAATTTGTTAACCTTTTTTTTTTTATAACTAATATACTGAAGTGCCTCTAGGAAAGAGGTGGGAGTCCGAATTGGGTTCAATTTACCACAAAGTTACAAGTCTCATTGGTGAAGAAGACTGGAAGACCTAATAAACAAGAGTATATTCTGTAATTATTATATACTATATGTTGAAAACCCACCCCACCCCACTCCACCCCAATTACTAAAAGTCATGTTGGCTTGGTTTGACCTGGCTCTTGTTAGTCATTTTCCTTCAAATAAAAATAAAACTACATTTTCATAGCACTTAAAAAAAGAAAAAGAAAAATAAAAGAAGCATACTCTGCTGGACTTCCATGAAAGAAAAGTCAAAAGGTTTTGTGGGCACAAGGGAGGGTGTTATCACAGCAGCTGCTATGACGGCCCGTTGAGATTTGTATCGATTTTATTTTAATGATCGAAATCATTTATATCATAGGATTCGTCATGTATATCATTCATATAAAATATAAAATAAATCGGACATGCATAGCTCATGTTCGGATCATAATTATTTTTTAAAAAAATTATCAAAACTATACTAAACATTTATTTTTTCAAACATAAATGTAGGCATGTTATAAGTTACAAATATCTAATTAACTTGATTTTTTTTCATGGATGATCTAATTGACAAACTTTACAATATGAATGATTCGAATTATCAAAAAAAATTCGAAAAATACTCTCAAGGCCATGTAATGTTAGCACAATTAGAGCTCTTGTTATATATCATTAGAGAGTTGGTTGCAAATGTGGGATTCTAGCTTTAATTGTAGCAGAATTCTTCATTGGAAGCAGAATGTTAGCTCTTGTTATATATTCATTAGCGAGTTGGTGTTTGAGGTTAGGTTCAAGATGGGTTTGCTGAATCATAAATGCATTTCTACAAGTTGGCATGATGAAGAAACTGTATGTACAAAGTCAAAGTATTGTGTTATCATGTCCAAGAAAGCATCAGTCAAGGATTTCCCCTTCTCAGTGGATGATATAGTTTTCAAGTGGGAGCAGATCAGGGGCACAGTTTGATCTTCTTTGCTGTTGAATTAGTACGCCAACTGTTTTTGGCTCTATTCTGGCTCTGGTATTGGCTCTGTTCTGGGTCTGTTTTGGTCTGAATCTAATGTTAGTTATGCTTGTTGGGTGTGGTTTAATGTTTATGTTGAAACAATTCTGGGTGCTGCCACACAATATTTTGGTCTGCGTCTAATGTTAGCTTAGCTTAGCTCTCTGCTGCTGTATGTGTCTAATGTTTGCTACTGTCTAATGTTAGCTTAGCTCAGCTTTTAGTAGAATCTGCCACACAGCATTGGAACAATTCTGGGTACTTTGTCTCTATCAGAGGTGTTGCCAATCAGTTGTTTTGTTGGTCTGAGTTCTCAGTGTTGTTTGTTGTTCAGTGTTGCCAATCAGTTGTTTCTAGTTTGTTGTTTGTTTGTTCTTTGGTTTGTTTCCTTCATTGGTTTCTCACCAACTTGGAGGTTGGAGCTCCTTCTCACTCCTTCCTCCTCTTTATTGATGTATTTCAGTTTGATTCATCAATAAAGTTTTTTTTTGCCGATCAAAAAAAATGTCCAAGAAAGTATCAAACATTCTGGACCTAGATAATGGATTTCTTTATCATGAATTGGTTATCTTCTTGTGTCAGATTCTTCATCATGGCCTATTGACCGAGTCTTCAAAACCAGGGGTTAGTATGTTTGGTTTTACTTTTATGTCAACTATTTCTTGTCTTTGAAATATACCAGTAATTGGTCTGTTGTGCATGCCACTTATGATGTGATAATTCATTGTCAAAGCCCAATGCCCGGTATTATTTGTATTGATTTCTAAAGTCAAACTCATGTTTGTCAACTTGGTCATGGTTTGCCATGTACTCCCAAATTTTCAAAGGGGTTGCAGCTAAAAGGAAGAAAGAGCATATTCCAAATTATTTCTATTATTTATTCCATTTTGGCATACGTCGTAGTGCATACAAAGATAAGGCCTTATCACGAGTAGCCAGGGTATCTTATTCTACTATCATTATGCCCTATCAAGGACTATAATTTCAATTAGATAAGATTTTATCGTTGTAGTTGAGGTTAAACCTATGTAGTATGTATTTGAAAACAATTATATTGAAGAATGGCTTCTGAAAATCGCCACAATGGCTAGTTGCCTAAAGTAAGGGACTCAATTGAAGGTTGAAGGTGTAAATACTGTTCTTTGTCAAATGAATTTCTCTTTAGAATTTCAAATGGTTCTTTTGTATTTCTCCTACAATTGTGTAATGTACAGAGCTAAAAAAATAGAAATAAAACGTGAGCTTGTGAGATGACTCACCTCTGCCTTCCTAATATAGCTTTCATCATGATTATGTAAATGTCAAATTGAGATCAGCTAAGTTTTGGAATATCAGTATGATTCTAAAAATTCCAAATATTTGACTTTTGTTTCTTGGGATATGTAATACTTTTTATTTTTCTTTTTTTACCATTTGTGTACTTGTTTTTCTTGCTATTGATCTCAGACCTAGTTAGTTTTTCATCTTTCACCAGCCTTATCCTTCTACTCCAAACTTGTAGTAGAGCTCAATTATGCTTCAAAATGTCATGTGATCATGCCTTCTATGAACCATGAAGTAAAATTGGTATCCTAAATGTACCTCAAGAGAAGATTATTGCCAATATGTCGCTATTACTATATCATCTACTGCATGTGATTTCCATTTTCCAATTTAATCCCCCCCCCAAAATAATAATAATAATAATAATAATAATAATAATAATAATAATAATAATAATAATAAATGGAATAAATGGTCCACCTAAAACTCTCAACGAATTCATCTTCACTCATTAACTTTGCTGCTGACATCCTATACCTTGTGTGAACAAGAAGAGCTTTTGTACTTCTTTTATAATGTCTGATTCATATCTATAGATAATATGGGGAAATTAATGCTCAGATGTCTACACTTAGAAAATTGAGAAGTACAGTAGGTCATAAATTAAGGAAGCACAATCACCTGGTGATTCATCCCAGTAGTCATTTTGAGCTCTTGTAATAATGCTAAGTTAATTGTAAAGAGGATTCTCTTGCCTAAGGCTATGGTTTAGTCTTCCATTACACTAGTATTTATTCTCACTTTTCATTTCTACTTTGTTCTCAAGGACCACTGCATGCTTTACTTTCTCAGCATATAAATGTTGAGTTGATTAGTTTACAATCTTTGATTCCTCAAATCCCATATAAGAGAGTCAACTCTAAGTTGCCCTAACCTGACCCCATGTTTGTATCTAATTCTATATACTAATTCTCATTATAGCAACATTACAGAGCTTGAAAAATTTATTCAAAAATTAAATGAATTGTGAATGTTAATCATATTAAGGGTTGTTTTGAAAAGTTTATTTTTTATTTATTTATTTATTTATAAGAAAACGTATAAAAACAGAAAGAAAAGAGTTGACTATTTTTGTAATATTTTTTAATTTATTCCCAAAACAGCTTTAAGTTTCATTTTGTATTTGCGGTGTACTTCTATAGCCTTTTCTTTTATATCAATAAATCTTAATTTTTACTGAAGAAAATAGGTGAGATTAAGTTTAATTTTACGCTATATACTTTATTTTCTAATTATGTTTTGAATTACTTTTACTAGCTCCCTTTGTGCCCTTAGCATTATGCACCTTCATTTAAAAAGGCACGTTGGATGCCAAACAAAATTAGTGACAAAAAACTGAGATGTGGAGACCTGATTAGTATATATGATATCTTTGAGCTTTGTCTACTTGAAGTGAATATCTTTTTAATGTTCTGAGATCAATATCTTGCTTTTGGTGTTCTGATATCGTATTCCAATTTGTCTTTCATTTGTGTTTCAGTTTGATGCATTTCTCCATGGATTTTCTTATTGATGTATCTGTATATTGTACACTTTCTTTGTACGTCTGCAATTTTCATCAAGAAACTTTTATTTTGTTGAATTTTTTTTTATTTAAAAAAAGTCAATATATTTATAAAATTTAGGGGAGTTTGAGTCTATATGTTTGGGATGATAGATTTTGGCTAAAATAGTCAATAAAATGAAAAATATTAGAATAATCAATAAGATAAAATATTATATATTACATATTAATTAATTATTTTTTCTCTCACAACTCTGGATTTAATGAAAATTGGAATATTACATGCAACAGATTAGCATATCTTACTTTAACTTCTCTAGACTTCGTATATAGTTGAGTAAGAGAAAATCAAACAGAGTACTAACTGCAGTAACATGCCATAAATAGTAAATTATAGTCTCGGGGCATTCATTGGAATTGTTGCATGTGGCTATCAATTCTATTGGCATCGTTCATTTCTTATATGCATAGCTCCTTAAGTACATTATTAAGATCCTCTGCATAATTTAATCATATTTTGTTTACCGAGTGAAATGTGAGCCAAAATAGTTATTGTTTCCCAATGTATTTTTTTTTTTTTCAATATCCCAATTTACTTGATAGATGTGTCAATTCTGGTATTCGGGGCATATATATATTTTTCACGTGCAGTTCAATCATAACATTTTGCATTTGGATATTTGAGTACTTAAATTGACAGCTTTAGAAACTCAATGTGGCATATTGTGGGTTTTCTTTCTGTGTCATGTTATCTACTTTTTACTCTCAACTCACTGCTTTATTGGTTAAATTTTCTCTAAGTTATGATATTTGTCTTCTTATTGATGGTTATTTTGTTGTGGTTTATGTTTTGGCTATGAATACTTCTTCTGTTTAGGCTAAATTGCTTTGGCTATTTTCTCACGTGATTTATGTGTGGTTGTAATTTATATAACTCAGTATAATCATTGGACTTGAACTTTTTTTTAATTAAAGTATATATATATTTTTCTATATAAAATTTGTCCTATTCACCTAACTTTAATTAACTCGGCATAGTCAGACATGGACAAGAGTTGGATTGCATTAGGTAGCACAGTTGATGGAAGGATAAGTTGGGCATATAATGATGGGGTAATATCATTTCTTCGTTTTGCAATGGCGGTTATCGATCGAGATGGTAAAATTTTGTACCCTTGTCGAAAGTGTGTGAATGTTGTTTATCAAAATTTTCAAATTGTTCAAATTCATTTGCTGCAACATGGGATTATTCCAACGTACACTATCTGGCACGTGCATGGGGAACCCTGTGAATCAAATGAGGCTTATCATCATAATATACCTATTGAGGGCAATGAGGTTTTGGGAGGTATTCATGCCTTAGTGGAAGATCGAATAAGAGGGGAATCAACTAACACAACTCAAGAGGAGGAGGTTCGCACTTTTGATAAATTATTGAATGATGCCAAACGTGAGGTGTACCCAGGTTGCACAAATTACACTTTGTTAAAATTTGTCATCGAGATACTTAATATGAAGGTAACAAACCGTTGGAGTAATAAGTCTAAGTCAGTTGACATGATGCTAGAGTTTTTAACAAAACTTTTACCGAAGGATAATTTGGTTCCAAAGTCAACTTATGAAGCTAAAAAAATACTACGTGAATTGGGTTTGTCATACGAGCTCATTGATGCTTGTGTAAACGAATGTGTGCTCTTTTGGAAGGGGAATGCAACACTAGATAAATGTCCAAATTGTAAGGCTTCTAGATACAAGACAAATCATGGTAGAGGTAAGAAGATCTCTCGTAAGGTTCTTCGATACTTCCCGTTAACACCAAGATTGAAAAGGTTGTACATGTCGAGGACGAGAGCCGAGGATATGAAATGGTTCAAGGAAAAACGTCTAGATGACAGTGTATTGAGGTATCCTACAGATAGTGATGAGTGGAAGGAATTCGATACACAACATCCTGAATTTGCCTTGGAGCCTCGAAATGTGAGGCTAGGGTTGGCTACTGATGATTTCAACCCTTTCGGAAATATGAATAACTCATATAGTTTGTGGCCTGTCGTACTCATTCCATACAACTTGCCACCGTGGTTCGCTATGAAGGACTCATTTTTCATGCTGTCATTACTTATTCCTGGTGAATCACAACCAGGAATTGATATTGATGTCTACATGAGACCTTTAGTGGAAGAATTGAATGAATTATGGAAAAATGGTACATTAACCTATGATGCCTCGACTGGTGAGACTTTCTGCATGTGTGCAGCTTTGCTGTGGACGATACATGATTGGCCTGCATTTGGTGACATTTCTGGATGGAGAACAAAGGGTCATTACTCTTGTTACACTTGCAATGATAAACCATATTTTGAATCTTTAAGAAGTAAGACTGCGTACAGTAACCATCGATGCTACTTGCCTGATGATGACCACCCAGAAAGGCGAAAAAGTAGAGCATATAATGGCATGCATGAAAAACAGAAGAGATCTTTGGTGATACCGATAGAAAAGTTTGAAGAACAATTGGGCAACGTGACGGGTGTCACATATGGAAAACATCCAAGCAACAGGAAAAGACGTCACCAGAACCCAAATTGGACAAAGGTAAGCATCTTGTATAAGCTACCGTATTGGAAGAAATGGAGGCTTCGACACAACATTGATGTCATGTATGTGGAGAAGAACTTTAGTGAAAATGTTTTTGGAACGATGTTGGGAATTGATGGGAAGAACAAGGATACAGATAAGGCATAAATGGATTTAGAAGATATGAATATAAGGAAAGAATTGTGGCTGACAACAAATCCCGATGGATCATATGTGAAGCCTCGAGCCAACTTCTCACTGACCCCTAAAGAGAGAGAGGGTTTCTTTGAATTCTTGAAATCAATCAAGTATCTAGATGGGTGCGCGGAAAACATTTCGAGGTCAATGAATGCAAAAAATGGTAGATTAACAGGATTGAAAAGCCACGACTGCCATGTACTTATACCACGGATTCTTCCTATTGGGATGCGTGGTTACGTAGATAAAGAGATCAGTACAGCACTTTTTGAGTTAGGTAGTTTCTTCCAAGAGCTATGCTCAAGGACACTGAAATGAAGTGAAATGGAGAAATTAGAGGAACGTATAGTACTCATACTATGTAAGTTTGAAAAGATCTTTCCTCCAGTCATTTTCGATGTGCTGGTTCATTTGGCCATTCACTTGCCACGTGAGACTATTCTCGGAGGACCTGTGCAATATCGGTGGATGTACCCGATTGAAAGGTAATTTCTAAAATTGTACTTTCAAATGAAAGGTATAGATTATGTTGTGTGCCTAACCATACTCCTAATTGGTTATCTCTTCAAGGTTTCTCAGAGCTTTGAAAAAGTTTGTCACCAATCGAGCTCGACCAGAAGGTTCTATTGTAGAGGCTTACATTGTCAAGGAGTGCATTACTTTTTGCTCAATGTATCTTGAAGGGATTGAAACCGTGCATAATCAAGATGCACGAAATGAAGATTATGGAGTCCATCGTGAAGGTTTGATAATATTCACCGAAACTGCTCGTCCTATTGGCCAAATCAGAAAGCATGTTGAGATGTCACCGGAACTTCGTGATATTGCTCATTGGTTCTTATTATACAATAGCCCTGAGATAGAGAAGTATCTTCAGTACGTGTTTCTTATAATTATATATATTTTAACAATTTTCATGTTATTAGTCATTAATAATAGTAGTATTTCACACATTAACCAAAACTATTTGAGTAGGGAACACAAGAATTTGTTACAAATTCCCACTGGACAAGATATAACTCAGATACAACAGAAGGAATTTCTGAAGTGGTTCAAAGAATATGTAAGTCATTTTTAATATTCACAATTGCCCAAACACTATTAGGCTTGTATAAAATACAAACATTACTAACATAATTCAAGTGTTGCACATTGCATGTGGATGTAGATAAATAGATTGAGAGTTGATGAGGCACCAGAAGCAACCGAAGAATTATGGTCATTAGCGAATGGTCCTAATTTGCTAGTCAAAGGGTACTCGGGTTGTATAATCAATGGTGTAAGATTCCATACGAAGGAATTAGACAATCATCGTAAGAGTCAAAACAGTGGTGTGCTTACCGAAGAGGACTACAAGGGAGAGATGCACGAATTCTACGGTCACTTGTGCAATATTTGGAAATTTGAGTACATGTGTCAAAATAAAGTTGTTTTGTTTCAATGTGAATGGTACAACACTGGTGACACTGGTAGAAGTAGAACAGTACGAGCTGACACATATTGCACAAGCATCGATGTCACAAGCCGATGGTATCAATCTGACCCTTTTATCTTGCCTAGTCAAGCTAAACTAGTGTTCTACCTTAATGACACCAAATGGGGGCAACCTTGGCAAGTCGTGCAACAGGTCCAACATAGAGGTGTGTTTGATGTGCTAGAGGCTGGTGATGGAGAACCACCAGATCAACCAGAATTTAATGATGCATTCCAACAAGAAAACATTAACTTAGTTGTCCCGATCAACATTGAAGATATTATTCGATTTCATAGGAATGATATTGAAGCTGAGGTTATTTCAAATAAAACAAAGAGAGATGGTAGAGATGACCAAGAAGATGAAGAACTTGGCATACTTGATGATGATATGGATCCTGATATGGAACTTGATATGGATTATGATATGTAGTTTTTGTTTTTTTTAGGTTTCTATATGGACGTATGTTTTTAATGCATTACATGGTTATGCTATATTTTGTTGCGTCTCTTCAAGTAAAATTATGCTTTATATTTTATGTTTTATATCAATTTATGCTTTTTAGTTACCAAAATGGCCAAAGGGGAGAAACAATGGATCAAACCAGGTTTTCTAGCAAAATAGAAGCGAACAGAGTACGAAATGGAAAGATATAAGACAATCAAGAAGAAAAATAAAAAAATGGATGCTCTACAATTGAAGCATATAGCAGCTTCTTTGATGGGTTCTACTCAGCCCAATCGTGTTAATCAGAAGGGAAAGTGTCACGCCCCAAGCTCCGTGACAACATCGCACACTCATTTAAGTGAGCATGCAAGGCTAAGAGTCCAACACATAACCAACAATGTAAAATACTCCAATTAAATCCTTAATTATCATAATGCTAAAATCCATAAAAGCTGATTATTCTTATCATATGAAATTATCCACCAATTTCACTAATAAAATCCATTAATAAAACAACAATCCAAGTACTTAAATCATTGTCCTACTCTCGACACTCCCACATGTAAAAATCCCGCACAGCTTTACTCTTTAGAATCTGAAAAAAAAAATAAGGGTAAGCTAGATAGCCCAGTAAATAACAACCATCATTGCTAGCAGGATCAAGTATAGAAATAAATAAATAAATAAATCGATAACCAATAAATATAATTTTTACTACAGTTCAATAAATGAACAATTATTTGTAAGATGGTTTCATAGCTAAAAATAAACAACGTACAATACATTTTAAATTAAAAACCAACAAGATAACTCAAAGTAATTCGTTGTTCAAATCGATGGTTCGATATTCAGTTGGTTCAATGATTTGATTCACAAAACTCAAGTCTTAATGACTACGGTCACTTAGCCCGTGACAAGCCCAGACCCACACATAGGTCGGTGGTAAAGTCCCAAAAGAAACTAGTTTCTGTGTCAATAAATAACCCCCATTGGCTAGGGTCCAAATCATAGTCAGACTAGAGTGATGTTTAAAATTCAAACAATACACAACTTTTAAATAAAACATTCGATATTTTCAGAATAAACGTTTAGTACAATTTTCAGAATAGTTTCACCAAATATTCAAATAATTTTCATAATAATATTCGATGTTGTTTTATACTTGACCCATATTTTATTTTAAGAGAACATGAAGGCTATAAATAAATATTTATGATTTTAAACGATTTGATAGGAATAAAAATGAACCAACAGTGATATAGGGTTACTTACCTCAAACAGCTAAAATAATGTTTCCCAAGCTAATTTCAAATTACCAAGATCCACCTCAATCTCACAAACCTAATAAAATATTACACCGCATAAACAATTATTATGTGCACTCATCTATCTCTTCTTGTAACAACAATAAAATAAATTAACCCAATTGCCTATTAAGAACTCCCACAATTTAGCATCAAAACAAAGCCATCACGGTTTTGGAAATTCTCAACCCATATTATTCTATTGTTGTTTATATACACGTAAAAATTTGTAATTGCTTGTAATCAATCTTGTATCCCACAAACACACCACCATTAAACCTAACCTATCACATATTAATCTCAAAATATGAGCCACCCAAACGGAATACAAAATACACTCTAAAATTGAGCAAAATCGAGAACCCCAACATAGACTACATCAATATAATTATTTAATCATATATGCCCATAAAATCATCTATTGATATATTAATACTAAAATCATAGATATGAATACAATAAAATAAATCTTACCTAAGTGATAAATAAAGCAAAACCACCACCCTTATGAATCCTCCCTCTTCCTTTTGGTTTTGGTTTCTTTTCTTTAATTTTTTTTTTCAAACCCTTGTTGCCTTGCATTTCCACAACATCACGCCTCCCCTTGTTTGTTTGTGTTGTTTTTTTTTGTTTTCTTCTCCAACACTAAAAGCCATGGCATCTCATACTTAACCTAATATTCTTTTCTTTTTCCAAAATTGCAAAATTACCCACCTATGTTATAGAAATAACAATGCCATCTCATAATTAATTCCTTGATATTACTAAGTGACCCATATAAATTAATTTAATTACCAATCTATCCAAAAATAATAATATACAAAACTTGGGTTTTACAGAAAGAACATTAAGGTAGATGATGATGACTACATACCGTCAGATCATGAGGATGACACTGATGCCGAGTCCTTTGAAAGTGTTGACGATGAGGTACTATATGTATGGCCATTCATTTTTTTTTTCTTATGTCACTGATAGCTATATATTTGTTAATGATGCTTTGTTAATACTATCTTCATATTTCCGTATACTTTATTGGATGAATAAGTCGTAAAATAAAACTAGAAAATATACATCCTACATACAACAATATGCATACCAAAACAGAGCTAAAGGAAAAAAAAAACCTCCTGCACAACCTGTAGGAGTAAGTTAGCTGGAACACAAATATATAACGAAATAAGACATAATTTGACCATGTTGGAAACACCAATACTAGGATTAGCGCATATGTGCAGCCTGGCCCTCATAATATCAGTAAAACACATGCCAAACTGATTGATCACCAACTTCACCACATCATGAACTACCTGCCAGAGGGATTCAGCAAGTCTAGGACTGTTGCCGGAACTGGCATAAGATGCGACCTGGTCCACTTGACAACCTCCATAACATCAACTTCAGTGTTCAAACTAGGACTACCAAATAGGGAATTCCATGGAGAATGGCCCCTAGCTGTAGCCAGATTTCCAGGTTGCCTCCAAGTTGCCTCTCCCTCAAACTATTTGTCACGCCCCACCTTTTATTACTCGGAGTCATTACCAAATTCTTTAACTTAATTCAATTTCAGAGATAACATGTGGAAATAAACTCATACATTCAATCCGTAGAAGTGATTAACAATACTCTCATTCGTATGCAAAGTAAATATTACATGAACTAACTTAATAAATTGCCCTTGGGCTTACATCATTAAAAGTACAAGAAGAAGGGTGTAACCCTTTACAACAATGGCATTCCGCCAA